CACGAATGCGTAGAATACCCATTTATTCTAAATTTTTACTAATTATATACCGTTGAGCATTACACAATCCGATAGTTATGAACTACATTTCAATAACAAATTAAGTCTTCGATTGTTCTGATTTCTTTGCTTATTCTTGATCGACTTCAAAGATGGACATAAAAACACTAAGAAATCATTTAATTAAAAAGAGAAAGAGCAAAAGAGATATTTTGAGCATTTATCATTTTAGTCTCAAGTTTGACCTGACTTCGATTTACATTGATTTGTAACACTGTTTATTACTTCTTTTTAAATGTATTCATTGAATTATATAATGCATCAGAATATGTTTTTTGGTTATGTTGATCACCTGATCACAGTTTCCCATAACTTTCATCTTCTAAATAATGTTTTATTTCTCGTAAGGACATACAGTCACAACAGCGAGGCTAGTATTACGCAAAAAACATCCGGCAATAGTTTAACGTAAAATGTAATAATCAAAAACGTTCATTCAGTAAATATTGGATTAAAAAGTATCTTGTAATGCATTATAATTGACGTAACCTCCGTTTGACATTTGTGAACCAACTTTCATGATTTTATTAATGAATAAAGAAATTCCTCAAATACAAACAACGATCAAAGGTAAAAAACACCCGTGAACCACGTTTTTCTTCAAACTAGCAGCCTTTTGATCATCAGTCTGTCTTCTACTCAATTAGGTCACATAATGGTATTATCATCTGATTTCAACTTTGGTTAGATGCAAATCTCCACTGTTTCAGGATTTCACTTTAATTTAATCACAGAGTGTTATCGTTGTGTGTCAAAGTAGCGATGAACATTGAATAAGATGGTACTAATTAAAAACTGTTAATCATACAAAGAATTAATGAATTATATGTCACTACACTGATTGTTTGAATTTGCTTGCGATCCAGGATTAATTAATTTGGCAAACGTTTGTATAATTTCATAATTATTCAATTAGGGTTTTCAAAAGAAACTCAATATATTTATAACTTGTGTAAGCTTTACGTTTTTCCCAACTGGATATAGAATTATTTCCTAACTACTCAAAATTTGTTAAACCATTCTGTAATAAAATATACACATTTACCTGTAATTTGAATACATTTAACGTAAAAAATAGGTGTAGCAGATTCCAAAAACCATACCCCACTCTATATACATGAAAGTGTAACATGTAGTCATCCAAGCTAGAAATGGAATATTTATGCATCAACTAAATTCAATGAAGATTATGATATATTATGAAAATGACGAAAGTTAGATATTAATCATAGGAGGTAAATTCAATTCAATTATAACTACCCCACTCCAAGTCTTAAAGGCGTTCGGTTTGTTCCCTTATTAAAGATGACATCTGGCATTGTTAAGAATTCCTGGTCTATGAATAAACAGTAATTCACCGCTTTTAATCTCCTCAATTGTTCTTCATTTATTACCAGTTACTTTAATTAAACAACATCATGAAGCACTCAGTTCACCTTAAGCTAAAACTCCAGTATTAGGAATAAATAAACAAGAAAAGAATATTTACACTTTTGTTTGCTACCATATGATCACGAGATGCTTTCAAAGATTATGAAGAAGTTCAGTTTCTCCTGTTTTATTTCCCCTCAGTTCTCTTTACCAAACTTTTATCTTCTATTTACATAGCGTGATAAGAAATAACGCCGTAACACATACGCACACAAATACAGAACAACAAAAATCAACACCAAATACAAATCTATTCACCAAATAAAACAAGCAAAAAGAAGTAAAGGTCAGTTTATGATTGACATTCGAAAAGACGCTCCAACCCAATAGATAGTTCAATGTACAAGCTAACGGATGAACATCGGTTAGTCGCAAACATGCCTTTTAAACCACTTTTATTTACACTTATGTCACAAAAAAGGAGGAAAAAACAAACAAAATTCGTCAAAAAGTTTGTTATTCTTGAGTGTCTTTCATATAAATGAGACTATATAATCGAAAAGTCTGGAAATATAGAGCTCTCAGAAGACTTTTGCAGAATCACAGTGTTGTTAAAATCAAAATATTCACAAAGGTTGTTAAAAAATATGTTGCGGATTCTTCAAAGAAGTAAAAATAAAATAATGTGTAAATAAAATGACATTTTATAATAACTTTCACACCAAGTAATATCAAAGTTATTTTGTTACCAATTCAAACGTTTTAAAAGACAATGTACATTTTGCAAAATATAATGAAATAAAAAGTTGAATTCGAACTTTTATCACCTAGCATTACGTTTAGAGATTATACACACGCAATACAGGCGAGTATCAACTTGCAAACAAACGTAGGGTCAGAACGTCCCACTGTTGCTTCAACCAAATAACATCAAACAGAATACATCATAATGTCAGGTCAGTTAGGCTAGAGACCAGAACTAGAGTGTATTATAGTCCCGAACTCATCAGATTTAAGATATCTACAGTTCTGTGTTTGCAATGAATTCAAACTCACTGAAGAATAGTTTTCACCTTAAGTAGAGCTTAGTAAAATCTCATTCAGTTCGCTAAAAATTGATAAATAAGTGCTAACTATGCAACTACATATATTATGTAAGCTCATTTACGAGAAACCCTTGCTACGTCTAATGCAGATCGTACCTGAAATGAAAACCACACAGTAAATATATTTTATGAGATTCTGAAGGTATTTGGTAATTTGCGTAGTGTGTCTCAAAGGCATCTGTATAATAAGAATTCCTTGATACAGAAAATTGAGCTTAAACCGTTAAGCGTTTTATTTTATATAACAAAATACTGATTTGTATAAACTACACTATAGTGGAGTGGCCAGATAAAATTTCATTACGAACCCACACCACCGCCATAGAAGCAATTCACGGACATTTTGAACACTATTTACCATCGTATAAGGAATCATTTTAAGCCTTACAAATGAATTTCTTTACTGGACGTCTTTATACCCCTCAAACAATGAACCAATTTACCACCCGGAAGAATTCATTGATCACATTCGAATTTTATACCAGTTAAAGTTTTCTTATTTTAATCTTACTATGACTAAACACTGTCTTCTAATTGGCCGAAGGTCTCCAAAGATATACATAATAGTTTACTTTGGTAGTTGGCACACTGTAACTTGGTTCGCTGAAATTTATCAGCATGCCGGACTATTGTACAAAGTATAAACCCACTGAAGGCCAGTTATTGACTGAATACCTCTGAGATAACTTATCTGCCAATAGCACTAAATAGAAAGTTTCACATATTATTGAGGAATATTAGTTCCCTAGAGGTTGCACAAGCGTGAACGAAATCAGTATTACGTCATGACAAGCTGTCAAAGTCAATGTAGATAATCTCGAAAACTGTCACAAAATAAAGACGATCTGTTTAGTTTCAGTTTTAAAACGATATTAACCATTCTCTGACATCTTACACATTAAAACTTAACAAAACGTGAATCTCCTTGAAAACAGAATTGAAAAACATACCGTGATAGGTTGGAAATCACTTTGAAGTTTGAAAACGACCGCATATCGGTGCTTTAACCTGGTAACCGATCTTACCGACTTTTTCTCTCTTTTGTAACTTGAGTAGTCACGTTAATAAAGTAACCCTGTTTTGATAGTGACTAAAGATCTATTACCATGAATGTGCGCGGTGCGACTGTGAACCTTATTTGTTCTCCTACTGCTGAATTAGCTAGTTTTCATGCACTCTAATTACTCTCCAGCCAACTGCTTTAAAACCGTGTAGATTCATTCTATGAAAAACTTCTGATTGACGGATACTAAAACCTGTAAGCAAAGAATATGTTATCGCGCTTGCTACACCTGAATATACTGTTTCTAAATCACATTATTTTATGTCAAAAAAATTCATTGCTAGACTACATTTTATTTCAGCCACCTGTGTTTCAGTGACCTTGTTCTTTTTTAAATTTTAGACCATATATTTCTCGGCAGAGACATTCCTTTCAATTTGGATATTTATTGATTATTTCATACCTTACAAGTAAAATTTGACAACTACGTACACCATAATACCCAATCATAAAAGAATCTTATGCAATTCACTATATGAAACAATTACGAATTTCAAATGTTCGCTTTGTGACTTTATTGAAATAAATAAATTCTAACTCTAAGGGTAAGTTCCCTAAAGATTTTAAAGTCTAAATGTATCAATTGACTTAACAGCTCTTAGATATTTATCTCGAAGTTGATCATTAGTAATTAGTGGATTATTATTTGACATGGTAAATTTTTTTAAACAGTACACTTTAACTGAATATTTTTATAACATATGTCGTTTTAAACACATTCACGAGTAATCGTTTGAAGGTATTATCCAAACACTACTAATGTGTCATTTCATCAAAAAGTAACGCTATGTGTGGCGTTAAAAATACGGTTCATTGTAGAGGAGTTAAATCAGCTGGTGAAGTTGTGAAAAATAGTTAACCGAAGAGACTATGACTATGTGTTGTAAACATCGTGTTTTTTTTCATTTTCGGTCATTAAATGTGATGGTATTAAATTGAAGCTATGTTAGATGAAGCTTCCAGCGAATAAATCAATCTGTCTTATTCACTGAAGATCTTTTAGTTTACATCTGTAATGCAGTAAAGTATGAGAATTCGAATTAGTTCAGTTTCGTACAAGATTCTAAAATGCGCTATTTGTCCATTCTATAGATGAATACCACTTTACTGAACAACAAACCTAAAGGTATCAGGTTACTTTCTTCAAGATATTTTGTATGAGATAACTTACATGATAAATGACGAAGTCTGGAGTTTATGGGAAAGAATCTATGCTCACCGAGGAAGTTACATGATGATTGTTTCATATCACAAGACAACTAAAATAGGTCTATTACCGAAAGATCTTAATGGAATTAATAGCTTTGCTCTTATTTGAACTACAATGAATAAGCCATGGAGTACTTTTTATTTGAGGATAATTTACTTAGTGACATTTAATAAATTGGTGTGCAATGAAACAAAAACTTGACAGCAGATTTTATCAGTAATTATTTATTGTTTTTTTTTCTTATGATAGTTAACTAACCCATGAAGAAAAAGTTTAAAAATCTACATCTCATATTCTTCAATAGTAAAATACTGATTGATCATATATATTCAATTGTATATTCTTACAAAATTGTGAGCAAAAATATCAATAATCCTTTTGAATGTCATATTTTATGTCTAATTTAAGCAAAGAAGTCTGGTTCTTTCAGATGGAAAAAATGTTTAATTACTTACGACTTGCACTTATCTAATAATCGCAAGTGTGAAAAATTCATTTCCTTCTAACTGGTTTCACAATGGATAAAAAAATCAATGTGTAATAAAATAATATTAAAAACGACAATCAGTTTCTGCCTGCTTACAAATAGATGACGATTTATTTGCTTTTTTAAAATTAATCAGCAGTTAAACATACGTTATTGGTATTATTAGCATTGTTATCATGGAAGTTGGGGGATTTTTCGAGAAAACCCGGCTCACTTTCAGCTACTTGTTTCGGTGGACCTATTTTAACATGTTCCGCCATTGTTGGTGGTAAAGGTGGTCTACCACCACCGGGATACCATGAGCGGTTTAAATCACCTATATATTTATATGATGGTGATGAATGAAATATTGACAGTGATGGATGTATATTTACTGTTACTGGAAGGGAAGGCTTTACTAAATGCTGAAAGAAGAAACAAAAAACAACAATAGGATAATTATGGATGAATATATATATATAATAGGTGAACATAAGTTAAAAGCAGGTGACCTCGCTATGACACTAGTTGATAGAACTTTAAGCTTATGAATCTGCAAACTCTGTAGACTAGAGTTATCAGCAATATCACATAAAAGGAAGCTTCTTGTTTCAATTCCAAATAGAAAGCCTTAAATCCATCATTGTATTCCATTACTCCACCAAGATTTGATGAACGTAATGCTGAGGTGTCAGTATCCAGCATTCAATGATCTGTTCTCTGTTGTTAATCATCAATAATATTTTTATGCTGCGCTTACAGATAATACATCATTGTATATCATGTCCATGTCATTTTTCAGTAGGTGGCGTTTTAGTTTCACCGAGAATATCAGTGAATTTATCTGAGAGTTACATTTATGTAAACAAGCTTGTTTTTTATTCTACTACGACGATTGCAATTGTTTAAAAAGAATCATACACGGTTTTACATGAAATGACTGTGTTTTTGTAACAAAAACGTCCCCTAGAAAACACACGTAATAATTAATTTCGCAATAAGAACAAAACATTATCATATTTTCAGCAATTGTATGTTTACTGATGTATTTCGGTGAAAATTTATAGATTAATTCAGTATTGTTGTCACGTTTGAATTTACTATACGATGAACTATAATTAGAAGCTTAATGTTCTTTAAAAACATAAACGTGCCTAAGTGTTCAATAAAAATATCCAGATTATATTTCTATTATTCGTTAGGACTGTTGCATATCTGAAGTCTCTCCGATAACTACATTGTTCTTAAATTACCTAGCTAGTATTTATTAAAACACTATTGAGAAGTTCAAATATAATTAAAAATTACTTTTCACGATGACCTGATCATCAACTGGTTAACTACAGAAACAATGAAGCATTAGATGTTTGGTTTTTTTTAATTATCAAAGTTACTTAAAGGTAAACACCTACGATTTCACATGAGGTAGAACCCAGGATTCTCAGGTATCGTGGGGAATATTATTGTTTTAGACTTTCCACTCAGTTTCCAAGGATTATCATCTTCAAGTTTCGTCAATCCACAATAAGGTGCAATCACTTCTCAATGCCACCCATGAAATGTTGTTTCATCTATGGATTAGTTGACACCATCATCACCAAAAATGTCATCTAATGTATAATTTTAACCAATTCGCATGAAATAAATCATGTAAAAAGTTTTAAAAAATACTTATGTATCACTTTAAGAAATCAGTAGAACAAAACAATTCCAATATGAGGTCAAAAATGGTTGAAATAAAGTCTCATTGGTTGCTCGATAAAGAAAATTACTCATAACCTAAAAGTTTCTTGTTACAACTGATAAATGTCCAGAGTATAGCTCTGTTTTAATCACTAAATTATCTTCCCTCGTTATTGTATTCAGCTGAATTTTGATAATTAATTTTTGTCAACATTGTGCCCTAATAAAATCATTCTCAAATGGGGACCTAACTGAACATGGAGGGACAATTCCTTAAATTCGTTCTGAAGCGTCAATCCAACTGTAAATATTCTAATCACTGATCATTATTCATCCGAATATGGTGAAAACAAAAATGATTTCTATGAATAATTTATATTTTTAATTGATTGTTTGATTCCTCTCAATGATTTTTAGAACTAGCCACCATCTATCTCTGCATATAATGGTTGTGACTGAAGGCAATATCGAGGCAGTCCCCAAAGTATGCATATATTCCAATAAGAGACTGATCAATTATAGTCTCTGACGTCGATAGTAAGATCCAAACGACCAATACAAAAATTAATTAAACTTCACTGAATTAGGCAAGCCAGTGGCTGTCTGAACTCATTAACTAAATGGAGAAAAAAGGGATGTCGTTTGAAGCGAACGGTAATGAGTTTGAGTCTTGGAGTGAATATCAACTATGAAATGCAGGCACATCTAGTTGACGAATCACAAATAGGACGGAATGTGTATCCAGGACTCTACCACCATCTCTATTTCATACTTTTATCATCAGACTGTGTATTAAAACATTAGGATGAATGAACAAACCATATTGTCTTACAACTATCAGTTCAAATCAATTGATCAAAATAAAAAAGCCGTTATTCAGATATTGAAAAAAAAATCACAGAAACAACTGCTAATCTAAACTATGGATTAGTAACTAACAGTAATGATAGACGTTTTTAGAACTTGCATAATCACAATGGAAATAATAGATGAATACACTAGAAATCGGCATAATTAATATTAATTTAGCCTAATTCTTTATTCCTATATTTATGTTTTGACATAAACAGAGACAGTGTATAATACAGATATATTTTTTGAAAGTAATAAATGAAAATGAATAACTCGCATAATCGTTATATTTCATTCGTTTTTACTAATAATCCTAGAGGTTATACAAATAGGTATATATTAAAAAGTGGTTAGCAGGGATAAAGTGCACACACTCCTATGACTTGATTTTTCTCATGTTTGGTTTTTTTCCGATTAATTGAAAACAACATGAAATATTGAATGCATAGGAGAATGAGAAAAACCGAGACAGTAAGGAAAGGAGAAAACTACTGTTTACATACTTCTTCCTTATATTTTTTGAATAGATAGTGTATTTAGAAAGACGGTAAAATTATATCAATATTATCCTGAATTTTATGCATTCTCGAGTTCAGTCTATTTACACGAAGGGTAATGAAAATAAGTATATTCCTAATACCATATGCATACATCACTTGTCCTATCAAAAAGCTTTCATCAAATGAAATATACTAAATTTTAAACTAACTAAAAGAAATTAATTAATCAGCTTAACCATTCGGTATAAATGTTAAATAAAATCTACTCATATGCCTGTAAAACTTGCTTAACTTTACTAATTTTTATCTAAATAGTCTCACAATTATTTACCTCGTTGTTCGACAACAATTCAAAACGGAGTTACCACGATTATATACACAACGAATAAATACATAAATTATGCTCCTTGTTATAGAAACGAATGTGTACCATATGAAATTGAATTCACTCAATTTACAACATGATAACTGAAGTAACAATACCATGACAAAATGAAATTCTTACTGAATTCAACTACTAAAATATGTATCAGAAGACTGGTCACTTGAGAAAAATAAATTAGAATTTATTTCTATCACTTTTCCCATAAGTTCTTCAACGAATCGACTTGTTTTTCTCGAAAAGGATTTCAAAAAACATCTTACTACTTATAAGTAACTAACGAAGTAAAAAATACATTTTTCTCGTGTTTTTCATAGAAGTTGTGAAGCAGAGCATTAGAATATAAATCGGTCTTGTTATTATCAGTTATTTACCAAGATACCAAAATCCTCTAAACCAAATTATCCCCGTGAAGTTTTTTTTGACCGTATTACTCTGATGTCATTTATAACCTCAGAAGTGATGAGTTGTTGAAAGAAATCGCTGGCAGATGTATTTGATAACTAACATTTTGACGCACGTATATTAGATAATGTTGCATGCTCTATTTATTAACCACCGAGCATTGACCATCGTCAGTCTAATGTAGTCTTCAGTGCTAATTGAATTTCACTAATTGATTTGGAATGTACCCGTTAGTCTAAATGACGAGACAGTGTACGATGTTAGTTGGTTTTGTAGAGATCCAAAAAATCCTTGTTACTAGCCAGCTATCGATATCCACGAAGTATCAGATTATGATTCCTAGCGACAATGGTTTCAAAACTAAGACTGACAATATGTGAAAACTATTATGAAGCCTAGGTTCAGGGGTTTACATGACTTGCCTTTAACTTCCTTCAAGTGTTCCTAGCCCCTAGCTAAAGAGCTTAATAATAAGGCTTCATGAAGCAATTTTTATTGTTATTCAAAGAACAAGTGAAAATTTCATGATTAAATCTTACCATTTGTTACGATAATGCAATTCAACAGTAATTTATGAAATTATAAATCGATATAAACATTTCGAAACTAAACCTCCAATATCATTAGTCCGTGTTCATTTCTAGATTGCTTTTCTTAAGACTATCAATTTATAATTTTCTTTTCGTTACGTTTATATGCACACATAAAAATTCTGAAATATTTCATTTAATTGACAGGTCGATCATTAAGATGTAGTGTCAAAAATGTTAGGCGTTTATAGTTGTGGCATCGAATGTAAAACAGTATTCTAACGAACTTTATGGATGTTAATTAAGGTAAAATACTAGAATAAGACAAAAAGTAAGTGTTTGTATATCTCCTGAAAGTGAGGAAAATGTAGACTCCAAGGGAAGTAATGGCCCTGAAAAACTTTAAGCTGACTTTATTTTAAAAGAAAATCTACTCGACAGAAACTGATATGATCTGACCAGTCACTGTATGTCAGTGAAAACAAACAGATCCCTTAATATTGTTTGAGAAATCTAACAACTTGTAATTAATTTACCAATTACACATTTATACACTAGACTTTTAGTTGCGATTTGTTTATGAGGGCTCAAATTAGCATATTGACATATCTTGAGCACACTTAATGTTGCAATATAATCTGAACAAGTATTTACATTCTGAAGTATTCAAAATCCGTTTTTCCTTCCTGAATGTTTACATGCATATCTCGAATGACAGGCTTTAATATGATATAAGACAACTGATTAGTGTTTAACGTTTTTCGTTAACTTTCAATTAATATCAATTTACACTGAAATCTGCACTTCACTTTAGCAAACTACATTTAAATAAAAATAATAAATGAGTATTAAATAATATCAATAATTGTTGCAAATCTGAGTATAAAATAAAAAGAAAATCAACCTTGTTGCATGACTAAAACAGAAAAGTACAAGACTCAATCTCTTTAGGAACTTTAGGATGAGTTCGCTTACCTCAAGTAATATAATGCTACAATATTAAACATTGTTGTGCCTCATCAAACAATATATTGCTTGAAGTTAATACAATTCACTTAGTTTATCAAAATGAAAGTAACAGTAAAAGTAAACAATGCTCCATGGTTTTTAGTAGTTCTACAGTTGATATCAGTGCTCGGTAAGATTCATTTTACAACTGAACTGATATCCTCAAACCACCCAACTGAACAAAAAAGAATTGTTAACTAATGATTCCCTTTAAAATGAATTCTCAAACTTCTAGTGCGAAATCGTGATTGGTAGGACTAAACTATCGCGTACGTTAGACAGTTATTGCCTCTATCACTCAGTAATCCCACATTGACTAGTGTTCAAGATGTAAACTCTGTCTAAAATCCTTACAAGACCAGAAGGTCTTGTGTTTAATCTGGTATGTGGTCACAGGTACACAACCCCATGGTGTAGTAAACCTTTCGATACTTTACGGTATTCAACAATTCTCCAGTTAATATAATTATATAGCGAAAACAAACGTAAAAGTGGATTGCTTACTGCAAGTAAATTTACTTAATCAAAAGGTAATAGATTTATTTATAATAAAAAGGAAAACTTCTTACATCTTTGAGAGCCATTTGTTCACTAACTGGTCCATAGAGGGCCTCACAACCTGGAAAGCTTTGGGTATAAAGACCACCAAATGGTGCATAAACTTGATGTCCACCACTGGCTAACTCTTTTCTAACATACATACTAACCTATATGTATGTAGATATAAATAAATAAAAAGTAATTATATCATTTGTAAAACAAAATAATCTAAAACATTACAGTTGACAATATTTGTAAGGCTTTCAATTTGTCAGTTTCATAAACAAAAGCTTTCAAGATATATTCAATGCCGTCAGTTGTTTCATGATCAACTAATGTACTGAAAAACAAAAGACAAAAAAAATGAGAAGGTGAGAACCGACATATTTTTGGGTAAAATTATATGAGTTAAAGAGGAAAAAGAATTAGGAACATTAATATACATATCAACAAAAGTATCCTGGTTAAATTATGTTATGAAGGCTTTGTACAATTCATGCGTAAATTAATGGCCTATGAAGTCAGTCAAACCAAAAGAGAAATAATAACCCATTAACAATACCAATCACGGTATATAAATGTTTGACTGAAATTAAAAGTGTGGACCATTAAGGTCGTAATAAGTGATTCTAGTTATAAGACCAGTATGTCAGTTGTTAGATCTGGCTTGGAGTTGTAAGTGTACACAACTATAGAATTTCTAACTAAGACTGTAAGTCTTCTCAAACTTTTACAATAGTTCCTTAATCGATATCACTGCTATAAAACTGGTCAACTAATGGTGATAATCAAACCGAAACAAAACAATTGATTCTGTTGTTAAAATGACTAAAAATCTATCCGTTCAATGGTAATTTCGGAAGTTTGTGATTAAATCACGATCAGGTAGAAATTTACCGTGGACGTTTATAACATACATGATGAATATATCAGACTGTTAAGAACTTTCAGGCCTAACTGTAACCTACAAATCAACATAATCCCTTTAATCAACATAACTGGACCTGATAAACATAAAGACAAAAGAGGATGAGTCAGGAAACATTTGCAAAATGAATTGTCGAAACCTTGAGGAAGATGAGATCAAAGTGACGACCCTTTTCAACCTGATATACGTAAAAATAAATTGGTAATCTTAACGTTATAACCCATATTCATGCGTATCATATGTGTGAACATGAATTAAACTGAGAAAATATTGAAACCCTGTGCAAATGCAACACAAAAAATGTCAAACAATCCTTAAAGCCATAGCATTCAAGTTATTAATCAAGCGGTCAGTATTTCATAATTAGTTAAATCGAAAAAGATGTTGACAAGCTACAATGAAAAAAGAGTAGAAGAGAAAATAACTACCGAACTATATACAGGCCTTATGAAAGGATAGCTGACATTAACAACCAATCAAATCCATCCATATCATGAGAACAAACTGCCCATCACTTGTAGCGAAATTCCAATAGCTCACTTCTTTTAAAAGTCGCCAGTGAAGACAATCAAAGGCTTTATAAGTGAAATATCTAGTTTAGAAAAGGTGTAACTATTGAGATCTTATTTATGAGCTAAACATCTCTAACAAAAAACATCTGTCACTCCATAGTTTGAAACCTCTCTGCACTTTAATAATTTATTTTCTAAAACTTACGTAAACTAAGCACAAAAATTAGTTAATTAATTGAAACAATTAATCGAGTAACAAATAATTTACTGTTTAATGCAGTCTAATGCAAATAATCGATCATAATTGGTTGATTGTAAAACATTTAATATTTCAATTGCTTCAGCACATGTCATACGGCATAATCTCTACAAGGAAAAATAAACGAGAGAATTGAAGTAAAACAACGGGTAGAGTTTGTAGTCATGACTATTATTTAATATCAGACTATATTATTTATCTATAACAGTCCACTCAATGCTCAATTTATTCGAAATTATCAAATCAAACGTTGGTAATGATACATATATTAATAAAAGGATGAAAACGTACTTTTTGTAAAGCTTTTATCACCCGGACTCTTTCTGGAGCTGTTTTATAACAAGCTAAAATGGCAGCAGCCTAAAAATATGAGTGACAACGAAAGGGAAAGTAATGATCAGTAGCCTAGTTAATTAATAATAAAAATACTATGAAGTTGTTTTCATGATAGACAAGACATTTCAATGATTCTCAGATATTTTTATGGTATCAGATATTGAAATATGATGACGACTGCAGCCGACATAATTTATCCTATGCAATCGGATAAATTAGGAGCAGCAAATTATACTTTCATGGTGTATGTATGGGTCGAGTGAAAAGCAATCACTCTGTTGATATTTGATTAGTAACTGATAAATTAACAAACTTTCAACTAACATTTTAAAAACATGAAATGTATATATGATGGTTTCATTCGTCTACGTATGACGTTTATTTATCAGATGGCATTGTCGATATATTTGGAGCTGCTTTTTTATGCAATTAGTCATACATAGTCATTTAAAACCACACACAAAGTCCATCAGTCAAAGTTACAGTAGTTAACATTCTCACAAATAAAGGACTTCAAAAGTCTGATACAAAGTAAAGTGGGCAATCAAATGTTAGAAGCACTCTTTGAAAAAGAAAAAATGAACGTGAGAACTCGAAGGTATAAAATGAATAAAGAAATTTGTACTGCATGAGACCGATTTTTGAGCTTGCTAGTAGTTAGTAATTTTCAACACATGTTAAAATTTCCTGTTTTAGTGGAATAAAATTTCTGTACAAAGGATGAAAATTTTGCAGTCTAATGGTGGGACCGATAATGTCATAAGTTACATTTCCTTCAAATTACGTAGTAGGTTGAAGTTAGTTGATATTTTACATCTCCATGTTTAAGTTGTTAGTTATTTATAGTTTTATGTATGTATATCGGTCATGAGTTCAATCTTGATATTTAAAACTTTATCATTGTGAGACTAATCCCTTTGTGTATATCACTCGTTCTGATATTTTAAAACACCAGCAAAGTTCAAATTAATTCACTATTTAATTTTTCAATATTTCATCGCATGTATAAAAACTACTGCACTTTCCAAATTTGTCAACAATTCGACATGGAAATTCTCCATGACATGAAGGTTGGAATAACCACGTTAAACCTTCACAAATAATCCAGACTATTAGTAAATAGATTGGTATTTGTTCAAATACACCACCTGATTGATCACCTAGAATCAGGATTCGAACCATTCTATTTGTTATTCACTTATTTTACAGGGAGAACCTTAGAGAAAAAAACATCTGTGTATAATAATTATACTTTTAAGAAAAATGGCTTACTGTACTGCATCAAATACGTTTGTCAGTAAATTATAAAAAACTCAGTGACATGCACAACTAAACACAGTTTTAAGTTTTCATACCTAATATACGCACGGTGAGAATAAATGAATAATACACTATGCAAAGAAATAGTACGCAAAGTAATGAAAATTATCAAGAATAGAGAATGGAATATGAGACGAAGGGTTAAAATATAGAAGTAAAAACTGTGATATAATACTAACAAAATTTAAGAATAAGAAGAAAGACAATAAATCAGTTCGCCCTACTGTAATCTATCTTGAGTCATGTTACCTTAAGTTTACAATTCGTGATCACAATTAACATAGGGATTTCAACTAAGCGGTTTAAACCCATTCACACTGCCCTGACTATCATTATACGACTCCTGAACTGATGTTATCTTTTATCTTTACCTCCTATAGCTCTCTTTCAACCTAATTCTAAGTCAAGTACCATCAATAGTCATGTTACACAGTGGGTGGACATCCGCAACGTATTTCCCAATCATGTCGGCAGATGAAATTTTACATAATAGTCGGTGAATTTTACATCTCCACAAACGTTATGACCTTAACCTCAGCACTAATCACTTGGTTGTCCCAAATACATTACAGACTAAACAATTTCACTAAAATACTGTCAATTTGAATGATTCGCACCTAAATCATGATATAGCAAATCGGTTGAAGTTATAAATGGAAACTACTGGATGATAACTCAGTGGTCCGAAAATCAAATACTTTCTGAAAGGCCTGAAGGTTCAGGATTCGAGCCTTAGTGGAGTTGTGTAACCATACTCATAAAGTTTCGCTATAGGATGAAACAGCTGAGCAGCACTTGATGGTTCTTAAAAGTTGTCTATCTCAAGTTAGTCCATAATGTAAAACCACTGAATTTAATAATCTTCACTACCCAAAATACCAAAGTTTGACGATCAATCAGAGAACAAACAAATATAGTGGCAGTTTGGCAGCTGCTCGTGTTCATTGAATGAGTGAATTTAAAAACGTTTGTCATGCATTTTAGGATGAGTTTCAAAAAATAAGAACTTCAAACAGACAGATTTCATTATATCTTCGTGACTTATTAATGTTTCAAACGACAATTGGAACTAGTTTAAATATGAGGTATACTGAAACGACGTTGCAAAGAAGAAATTTAATTTTTTCAATCTCCAAAATCTTTTTATTGTCTACCTACCTGCCTTCCTGTAAGGTATCCTTTAGAATAATACAGCTTAGCAAATTTATCTGAAACACTTGTTGATTCTGATATAAGTGTAGTTCTTAGATATTCAAATTCTGTGTCATTCAAAGGAATCTTTGTCATATTCTCTTGATTAGTTTACTTCGCTTCCTGCTTCCGTAAATTCTGAAAGTGCAAAGTTGTATATCATAAGAATCATTCGTGTAATTCTCAAACCAATTGTGGTATTGTTAAAAAACAAATCGAAAAGGAATTGGCCCTGATTAAACTATTTTACTGTTCGAACTTGCATTTGCAATTTGATCAGGAGATATCTACTGGATTGTCGTTATTTATACAGTTTGAAAGAAATATTCGGTAAATGTTTGTGTTCCAGCCAATATAGCTTGATTGGCTCATTACGATAGACAAGACCGACCACCACGTCAAGGTAGCAGCAACGGTCCGGATCTGTGACATAACCAGTGATCATACTTAAACTCGCCTAAATGTGTGGCGAATAAGCATTCCGGCCTTTAGCGAATGTGCTTGAGTGATGGATGAGTTATTTAACATTTACTCAACAACTGAGAAGATATCGCTTATTTCTAAAGTTACTTTTAACTCTGTTACGTTCCTATTTATGTCACGCCTAAAATCACATAGATCTAACAAGTATCTATCACAGATAACAAAATGGGTCAAAAAGTATCTTAGATATAGAAAGATACATAGGAACCTGTTCACCTCTTCAGACTCAGAACAATTCAAATCCATTTGCTGTAAAACTAGAAACGCCTCTGAAATGTTTATGAGTAGAGCTTTATTAGTTTATGAGAAACCTGTGGTCTTAGATCCTCATAGCAGTCATAAATGGTTGCTCTTGTATATAGTGAGGTGAACTCAAAAAAAGTGGTGAAGTACCGCTGCAAGGAAATTCACTGAGACTGTCAATTAGTGATGTCAATAAAGCCTCATTTAAGTAGTTCGGTGATTTTTCAAAATGTGATGTTGAGAGCCCGGACATTAGTTCTAACAATTTTCGACGGATCCTGTATTTACTGAGGATGAATTTTTTCAACAAATACTCTGACATCTCAGAATAGATAAGCCTAGTGGTCCTGACAATACTCGTCCTTGAATCATGGAAGTTCTGGAGGATATGATTGCTTAGCCATTGAGCAGCCAAAAGTACAAATATACTCCAGGGATGCCATAGCCTTGTAAACATCCAGTCAACAATTGAAAGGTTTGTCCAACTAGCATCATTATCAAATTAATGGAGATTATTCGAGCCGTTATTTAAAGTCACGTTGGAGGAAGTAATCTTTTATCAGAGATAAAAAGTGGTTTCAGAGCATCTCACTCATCATGTTTGACCGAATTCTTCATTGAAAGAGATCTGACTGTGGTGAGACATAGATATATTCCAGCACACGTAATTAATAAACAAACGAAATCACAATTTATGGACGAATCAGTCAGATATAGGATAACAGGTGTTGAGTTTTGGCGCGAAATTCATTCACCCATTTGGCTAAATAGCGCCTTGGCATTTTACCTGATGACAGTTAGTGATGAAAACCATAAATCTGGTTCCTAACCCTAACCACCAACCGTGAACCATAATCATACACTGGTTTAAAACATCGACAAAGATTTAGCTATACATTGCTTATTTTATGTGTTTCCAGAAATAATACTGCCTAGTAACCATGATGAACTCATATGGCCAAGAAACTTAGAAGCCGTCGACGAATGTGTGACGACGCGAGGGGTAAAAAGAACTAAAAACCCTTGAATACATGAAGGGTGATTTGGAAATATATGGTGAAACATAGGGTGACATGTCATCATCACATAATAACACGTTTAAGATATCGGTCATGAGCTAGAAAGTAATATATTACTCCGACTGCAATGCAACAGGTTATTCAGAGAGATAATTCAATTAACGGCCCTTTCTCTTACATTCACATATGTTTAAGGTGAGAGCTTGCATGTTGTCATGACAACAGTTAAAACAAAGAAATGTATAATATTTCATTCGTTACTTGTTCACTTTAAAATATCATTATAAGACTTTTTTAAAAATTTAGTGAAGGTTTGAAATAACACGTTTTTTGATGTACAGAACTTGGAGAGCTTAATTTATTTTACTGCTCAACATATCGGTTTATACCAGGTAGAGATTGTTCTGCTTAATTCTGTTATGTTGTTTGTATTTCTGTGATTCTAGTCATTGTACTAATCTATTAACATATATCTGTATGTCGTTAAGTTGTGAATCAATCCTGTGTGACACTGGTACTCGCTCTTCCACGTAGGTCCTATACATCTGAAGTTAGACCCGGGTAGTATCACAGCCCTCACACATATCGAATGAGATTTGTGTGGCGCATATGTATTTAGTGCCTCTTTGTACCATTATCTATGTGTTGAAATAGATAAATAAGACTTTATAGTGTTTCTATGTTTATCCCACTAACCAAACTTTATTTGAAATCATCATCAGAATTTCCAGAGGCAAGTTTTTTTTGTGGCACACATGTTAAAAAACAGCGAAAACTGTGATTACGATAACAAACCCTATATCATAATTACTTTCCTTGCTCGAAAAAAAACGTTTCAAGTGTTAACCCATGTTTTTATAACACTGGTTTAAATATGCTTCACTAGGAAACTTGATTTTTCCTTATTTCATGAGTGTATAAAAATCAGTGTTTTCATATTTTAAACATTATGGACTGAATTATTTCCCATCTGGATAATACCACATCTAGAATGCTGTATACTAGAGGCTTCTTCCTATATGATTGTTGATGTAGACGTTTCTGAACGTATTTATAGTATCTATGTGGGTAACAGGACTGTCCAATATCTTTGATAAAGATCTATTAAAACAAATGTGTCATTTCCGTATATTACTCTCACATAAATATCTCTAAACAACTGTTTAGTTTACTACATGTATTAAAGTGGTCTTAGTATCTATCAAAAGTTTTGGGAATTCATTAATCTCCCAAAAGCAATAGTGATGGATATTTGATTGTTTTAGAGATTTTATGTCTTGTCAAACCTAGAGATAATCAAGAATGAACTTCTAAGGACTTTCAGACAGTACTGTCGGGTATCAGTTCTCATCATGCCTAATGTGTTTATGATAAGCCGGTATCAATCAGTATGATTAATTTGCGCTTGAACCTCAACGTTGAAGAACAATCTTAAATCTTTGGTATCAAAAAAATCCTACTGGATTTGACACACTTGGGGTAAGTCGTTGGTGGTAGACAGCACCAAACATCCTGTTAAATAGTATGTTGTTTAAGTCGGTTTAATTCATATAAAACTGCTCGGAATCGGATAACATTTCTTCGTGAATCTTCAAAAATTCATTTTACTCCAGTTCATGTATTTCATCTGTTGTATTACTGTGTCTATACATAGCTAACGTTACAACCAAAAGATATAATTTTCATCTATGAGCTTCTGGTAGATAAAATATGAAGTCATTTATCAAATGACCATCTTTCAACCAAGATTTATATATGTTCATAGAAATAAACTTAACAGTGTGTTATGAATAGTTCCTTTAAACACCACCTATTACACGTAGTCGTATATTAGTGAATGTTATGAATTCTAGTGAATTCTATGTCTCAGAGTCGAGCTCATAAACCTGAAGTTGGTAAAGTAATTACATTTCTTATATCAATGAAGACGAACGGACGAAAACGTAATCTTTATTTCAGTAATGTTTTAGTTAAGTTAAAGTTATCTCACCAACCACTTCGGGTAGATCAAACTCCAAGAGTTGATGACTCGATGTGAAAACCTGTTAGCATAGTTATTTTGTTCGTTTTTGGCCTTTGAACTCGCCTGTTATGTACTCTGAGTTGTTCTGATCTGTTGTGAAGGAAAAGATATAATACCTTCAGGTCCAAAACCATTTTTAACTATTCTATACATCATAATCAGATTACCTCTGTATCTGCAGCAAGGCAAAGTAAAGAAGTAAAACTTCTCAAGCCATTGTATGTGTGAATTCTGGAATCCTACAGGTAGCTATTCTTTTTACTGTTTTTCATGATCCAAGATTCACATTTCGAATGGTGGTCTGCAGCCTAGACGCAGTCTTCAACTTTAAATCCCACCAAGGTTGTGTATACTGTGGTGGACATACTTATATCCAACCTGGTAAATGTTCATCCTAAAGTCCATATGGTTCTGAACCCTTCAGCTTCAACCGCACGGCAACGGGCCGTGATCTTAAAGTTGTGACTCACCGCTACCCCTAGGACATTGTGAGATAGGACAAAAAGGCACCGACCCTTCCTCAGTACTGTAATTATTTACTTTTGCATCTCCAATGTTCATGCAGATCCACTTAGAGGGATTAATTTTAGATCAGTTAAGCAAAACATCTAGGTTGGCCAGGAGTGTACGTGCATCTTTGCCTCCCGTTACTGTTGGCATTATCAGTATAAAATAGGATTGGGGGTTTAGCGGTGCACAGGAGTTCATTTACGTATAATACGAAATGTAAATGGTCTAGAACAGAACCTTGTAGTACGCTACTGAGTACTGGTTTCCATGTTTAAACGTCTCTAACTACATTGATTAAAACGTAGTACGTGTTTCAACTGAAAATGTTCAGTCCGTCTTTTAATACAGTTCGAATTATCACATGATTTACTTATTCATCACATGTGTTTGGACTCATGATGAAAGTCTAAACGCATCATATTGATGAAATAATTTGATCATTACCATAACTATTTTCTGGGTCAGTATTTCCAGCATGTTTGTATAATCTATTTACGGTGTCCGTTTCCAATATACTGAGGCTCTTCATAACCACTAAACAAACCATAATGATGACGTAATTTCCCATTGTAGCTTTCAACTTACATTATTCAGGAAGTTTAGTCCATTTACTGAAAGTAAAATGCACGAAAATAATAAATATTCCAGTCCTTCACCTGGTGTTTGCTTAGTCTGCTGCAATACAAGCTCTTAGTTAAAGTGTTAAGGTGGTCAGAAAGTTCCATAACTTTCTCCTTGTTCCTCAGATCATGGTAGTTGGGAAACTCAAATATGTCTAACCTCCTTAATAATCTCACCGAACGTGACTAATGGAATCTTTGCGCAGATGTTAAATGCCCGTTTGATTCCTAGCTTTAGTCAAGCGTTGTACATTTGAGTGTCAATTCGTCTACCAAAAAGTACGTCAAGAAATAGTCCACTCTGTATTACTCTACAGTCGTAAAACAAAGTCACTGAAAGTTAAAGACATGTATGTTCCAAGTTTCCAAAACTACCTACGTGTTACACAATGCATGACTTCCACATACCCTGGCGCGCTATGCTATTTAGCTAAGTTAAAAAGGACTCGGGGCTATCTAACCAAGATATGGAATGAGTTACTAACTAGTAGTCTGAATTGTTCTCGAAAATATGGGCTATCCGGTTACGGTTGGCGAGGTATATTTAGTCATCGGTTTACAACGTTAAATAACATGACTCAAACTCGGTGGTACTGACGCACATGTAGGGAATTTTAAACACTTAGTGGTCCTATCATTCTACTAAAGTTGTATCTCCATAGTTTAAACTCTCAAATCTCAAGAGGTCAAGCTCATGTTTGAACCTCGCCTTGCTTATTAATACCTGAGCAACTGAATACTATCGTTAGCTCCGACATGGGAGACTTTTGGGTTGTATTATTATTGTTTCATTTTATAACAATTTATTGTTTTATTACTCTAGTTTAAGCAATATTTTGAAGAAAGTATACCTTAGCTTTATCAAATAAAACTTATTTTCCTGGTTTGCATGATAAATATTAGGAATATTCGTCTAAAGTTCTTACACCAACTGAAACGAACTTTTAAGCTACCATTTCATCAGGGCAATCCCAAAATTTTTGTTAATTGTTAGTGTTTGTTTGTAAGCGTTAACTTTTTGTTTCGCTTTCATCTGCGTGCTTTTATAAACCATAAATCTCACATACCTCATTTTTCCACATTATTTATTTCATTTTCATTTTTACCTCCGACAGGCTATTGTGTCATATACTACAGTGTCACTTAATGAGTATTCGTACGACAGTTTTTTCCATCTTTCTGCGTATTTAATCCCCCACAACGAATCCTCGTACCTGTCTTATCATCAGCTTATGACTTCACATCACCGTTAGCACAGAACATAATGCGTTGTCTCTAAAAGACGTCATGAGTTTTGCTGTTATGTGCTTTTAAATTCCTTCAACAATTAGAGTTCATACTTTATAATTACAAGGATTCCAATCATACATCACTGTGTTTATGCGATTTGTCATTATTTTATCGTAGTATCATATTTGTCCGACACCTTACAATGGGATCCTAATGTTGATCGCTCACAGTTTATTTGTGTGTTTAAAATAAAATATTGCTCCAAAGATGCTTTTATTTCAAGTATTTTAATTAATAATTTTTACTATATAAGCTAGTAAATTCTTGAGCTTTTGGTAGTAGTTTAAATTGTTTCAAATATCACTTGGTTGCTAAAATTCTGGATAAACTCATAATAGTTTGGTATTTTGAAATGATATTGTACCTTAATAATAATCGCTCATAAGATTGGACCATCATTTACCTATACTTCTATTATTATTATTATTATTATTATTATTATTATTATTATTATTATTATTATCAGCTTTATTCAATATTATATTTTTGGTACAATATAGAATTCTCAGCGCAAAGTATTTCAACAAGTTGCCATTTCTTTCTTCTTGGTCTGTCCTGGAGATAAATGTTGAGTGATCGCCAGTTAGATGTTAGCACTTCAGTAAATGAACATCTGAATAATGTGTATTCTTTTCGTTGTATATTGCCAGCAAGCACATTGTCTCTTATTGAGTTTTTTGTAACTTTGACAACGAAAGGTTGTACACTTTTCAGAAACACAGCAGAGTAGGTTATGTGATTAATAAACTTAATGATATAATAGAACAAACAAAAATAGATAACTTGTTGAAATATCCAGATGGCAGGAACAGGTAGCCTAGATGCTCAAGCAGGCCACCCTTCTAGTATGTTTTTAGGCAGTGGAAACTTCTTGATACCTCTATCCTTTCTCATGTTTCTATCAGAAAGTACTTAGTACACAATCATGATATAGAGACATAATCGTTGTTCTGTATCAAACACATCAACTGTCTAAATTCAAGTTAAACAACATATTATAGTTTTATTTTATTTAAACACGTAAACATTGGTACAAGGAGGCACCAAATAGATATGCGCCACATAAATCATTCGATTTGTGTGAGGGCTGGGATACTGCCCGAGTGGTTTTCTTAGGGGGCCACATCCGGAGCCTTTGACCTAAAGGTCCGATCCACAAGGCAGTGGAGTAACGTCAGGAGATGCAGTCCCATGCTAGCCGGTGACCAATAATTGGTTCATACGCCATTTGTTCCCTCAAGATCGTGGAGTCCATGTGCACCATTGGTTTGGAATCAGGGTTTTTTAACTCTCCTAGGTGGATCTTCTATATCCACATACCTGGTTAAAGCGCCGGACATTTGCTTTTCGTCCTCTCAATTTCGTAAACAACACCCCTTCCACGAGAAGGCAGTGAGTAGGACCTCCCTGACAGTAGCTGTATACGCGTGGCCATGTGAGAGCATTTCGAGAGGGAGAGCTGACTCAGATATACTCTCATAACTACATCACTTAGTTTTTTTTTCATTTACGAAATAAACGATTTTCAAGTAGCCAAAATTGTTTCATATCGATCCATATTCATAAAATGGACAGTTAAAAGCTCTTCTGTTGTTTTTTAATCTTCTTCCGACACGTATTGTGATAATCTCTTAAATTCGCAGTAATCAAAAGTAAATGTAATAAGCAAAACATTTCTATCTACCAAATTATTTTTCACTCTAGACACGAGTTTTTGTTACGAAATACTGTTTGTATACGTATACTTGAGACTTGTGGTAATTAAGATATTTTAATTTTTTTCGAATTAATTATCATCAAGTAAAAAATATTCTGGCTTCATGTACTCCCACATCTAATTATATTAATGCTAGATTAATGGTTGGTCAACCGTTCTTAAAGTATATAGAACAATAAAAGTATACTAAGCATTGTTTGAGATCACTCTTTTTACATAAATGTGTAGAAAACTATATGAATTATTAAAACCGAAGTTCAATAGGCTTATGTAAGTCAAAACGACTGTTCAATTGTCGTCTTGAATTTTGTGGGTAGAAATCTACAGATACATTTGTGTACCGTCAAATATTAGTTGATCATTCGATAATTGCAGGTGACCCTCTAAAAATTCTACTTCATCTATGTTTTATGTATGGTAGCACTCCCTAGTAATATTTATCCATAATCACGATGAAAGTTAGTGGTCCCCTTTATTCATCTCCATTTATATAAAACAGCTCTGCAGTCCAACGCTGTATCATTTGTTCATCTGAGTTTAAATTGACTATCTGTAAGTGTAGACCATATTTTTTCTTCGTCCACTAAAAAGTAGTTAACTAGTTTTTAATGCTGATCAGGTTATATAATTCAAGCTCCCAATACTATCACTAAATCGGAGAACATGATGATGTTTAATATTAACTGTTAAAAAGCTCTACCCATTCTCAACGATTTCACAGTCACCATGATTGTTATTACCTTCACAATGGAAAATGAGACAGTTTAATACGTTTACCAGTTTGCTCGGAATTATTACTGAACTTAACTGATTAGCTTAAAGTAATCAGTGTCAACTGACTTTTTACTATGGAAAAAACTAAATTTAAGGTATTGGACAGTGTTACTTGCTTTGTCGTATGTGGCAATCAGAAGTAGACAAAATTAATTCACCACTCACATTACCTACCAAAAATCACGAAGCAAAATAATTGAATGTATAGGGATAATGTTACTTCCTTTGATGTCTACACTTCAACAACTATACTCCAACAGTATCAGAAGAAAAAGTGAGAACAGTATAGATACAGAATAAACCAAAACAACCTCCAAAGCAAGTGTACAAAAGCAGAATCACAAGGAAATAAATAACATTTATATCATTCTCGCACTGAACGAATTCATCAGGAATCAGTTCTCTTTATGGAGTCGTCAACCTAGGTAAGTTACATGGCTTTGAATATCTAAGGCGAATCACCTAATTATCATGCCTAAACATTGTTACTTAACTGTCAGTATAGTCTCCTTTTTGAAATTAATATTGGCACCTTATACTTAAGTGACATTGAATGACAATTAAATTTACTTTCTAAAACAGCTGGCTGTTTGAAGTTTCTATAGATTTTGATTATTTAACTCAATGGTTTGTTCATTTATCTTCGTAAATTAAGGTTATTAATTATGCCGTAGCTAGGGAATTTTTGTATTATCACATTTAATGACTTTATCATAAGTTTTACTTTTTATTTCACATTTTAATATTCTATACTTAGTGTATGTGTAATTGTCGTAATTATTTCTACTGAATTTTAAAATCACTATTTTATTTTCCCTTTATATTTGACCATCATAAGAAGCTGAATAGTAAACCAATCTATGTAATAATTCTTTTTAATTTATAAGATGTACCAAATTCCTGTTTATCTAGAAATCATTACATTACAATAAATAAAATGAATCGTTATTCAACAATCTACAGTTCAAGTTATCGTCCTTTTGATGAAAATCGACGAACAAATGTAATTAATAAAGCTACCATTCCCCCTCCGCCTCAGTCATCCACAATTTTACCACATCAAAATATGAATGGCACAAGCCTGTCATATGTAGGTCAAACGTGGGCTTCCGATTCCAATAATCATTCAACTATTACAACTGGCACAAGTAATACAAATTACACCCACGCCTCCCCATATATTACTTGTATTAATAATCGTTTAGTAAATAACAGTACAACAAATCAGACAGCAAATAGTCTAAGTTTACGTCGTAATATGTGGGATGATTGTGAACCACCAATTGGTGATAAGCAAAGATCAAAACTGTTAGAATTTTATAATTCTGATTTACCTGTTAGTCATTTATTGAAGACCAATGAAATTAAAAAAGATGACTACACCAACACACCCAAACGTAATTTTAGTAGCACATATACCACAGTAGTATCGGATAAATTAAATCCCTGTTCAGTGATTTCTGCTGCTGGTGCTTACGAGAATAATCGTGATAAACAAACTACATCTAACACTATAACAAACACTACACAAACAGTGCAAAGTAATTCATCTTATTGTCAAACAAGATCAAAAACACCGTCAGTCACTCCAATATTGTTTAATTCGTCAGATAAATCACAAAAAAGTTATGATACACTTCCTAAATCAGGAAATAATAATTCTGCTGTTGGGAATCGAAATACTACTGTCACTCCACTTATACCATACAATACTGTCTGTCAAATAGATTTTATGCAAATGTTCAGTCAAATTGCACGCATCAATAATCATCTGTTTCTGAGTAGTTTAAATGCTATCACACCGGACAGATTACGTCAACATGGTATTACATTGTTAGTATCTGCAATGATTGATTCTCCACCGGTTCATATTCGTAATGCTGTGATGAATACTATTCATGTCCCCGTTGAAGATATAGAAAGTGCAAATTTACGTGTTCACTTTGATAGAGTATCCGATCGAATAGCTGCTGAAAATCGGCGTGGTGGTAAAACGTTAATACATTGTATGGCAGGTGTTTCACGTTCCAGTACACTTGTATTAGCTTATTTAATGCGCCACACGAATATGAGTCTTGCTGATGCTTATCAACACGTGCGCAGTATAAGACCATGTATTCAGCCAAATCCCGGTTTTTGGCGACAATTATTAGAATATGAAGAAAAACTACGCGGTAGTCGTTCGATTCGTCTACTTCCATCGCTTACTTATAGTGGAACATCAAATGTGAATTATAATACAAATCGATTATACACGAATAGTCCAAGGAATATCATTGGCGGGTCATCGTATTCCGATATGTTTTCTAGAACACCGAATGATTTATTACCAAATAAATCATTCACTTCATTGTATCCTATGGAGATAATCAGTTGTCGTCAACCTCTTAGTTAATTAAATTGTGGAAATGAAACAATATCTTATGGATTTTACAGTGACTAAATAAATTGCATATTGTGTTACAAAGCATTTAAACTGATATTCTATAGAGATATTCATATATCGGAACAAACTCATTCGTTTTTTCTGCTTCAAACATTTAACATTATTCCACATACGTATACCGCTTTTCTCAAAAATCCTACATTTTGAGAAAAGTAGAAAACCATTTGGTTTATTCACTATTAGTTTTAGTTTATATTAGTATCAAATTTCACTGATGACCTTGTATTCATATTACACATACACAGATACACATCTGTGCATATATATATATATATATATATATATATATATATATATATATATATATATAATGGGATGAGGTTATTTAGATGTTTATTTTCGGTGAGTTTTTACTTGTGTACAGATATGTGTCCGTACACATGAAAAACAGATAGATAATTTGCTTATTTTCTTCTGTTTCTAATCTGCCAAACATGAATATGTAAACGGTCCTACTTTTGTAGTTTCCTTTCTGAATTACTATTTATCAATTTGCAATTTTGATGTTTTTCTGTATTTGATTATGTATGTGTTTCGTCCATCGAACAAGCCTATTCTCCTCACTCTATACTACTAATATACTAAACTACTCATAAGTTTATATCTATTTATTTACGTTTACTTTTACAAATCCAGTAAATGTTAAATATTCATCAAATCCACTAGTAGAGAAAGAATTCATCTATTTTTTTAGTAGAAAAACTTTTCCACTGAAGAAAAAAAATAATGAAAATCAATTTTGTACCTTTTTGAATAGTAGAAAAGATGTTATATTATTTTTCGTTTGATACTGATCTTGTTATCATTGACGATAGTAATAATAATAAAGGTTTAAACCTGGAAAAAAATAGTTGACAAATAATTAACTGTTTTGTTCGTGTTTAAATTGTATTTCATTTTCGCTATTTTCAATTTCTTTAGTGTTTTAATTTGTTAATCTTCTTAATTTTTTTTCCATTGTACACACATAAACCTTTTGTTTTGTGTTATACGCTTTGCCAAAAATGATAGTTTCATCTGTTCATCTTTTACGATACACAATCGATAGTTGGCTTTGTTACATTGTACTGTTTATTTTTCGTAAGTGAATAATACAAACCAAGGGAACATATACTGAGAAAGAGTTTCTTGTATATTTATTTAGTAAAGATTATAATTTTTTCTCTTTACTTATTCTTCATCTTCCTGTACCCTGTGAATGTAAGACCAATAATATTAATAATGAAAATTGAGTATATAACAATTAAAGCTAGTTTTGTTCTGCTACCTAAAGAGTAAATACTAGTTTCTCTCCAGAAAAGAATATTTCTCCTGGTTTCGCTGTGTTTTTGTTTCTTCTGTTTTCAACTTTACACATCTTGTACTATTCTCTATTTTCATAACTATTTTAGTATTCATTACTCTCCATTTGATTTATCCCTTTCGTTTTTTTTATTATTGTCGTTACAATATTTTTTCAATGAATTTTCATTTGAACCATTCTGTTTTATTTTAAATATTTCCTCGAAATATTGAAAATTTACAGACATGTCACAAGCACAATGCTAACGCCTAGATATTATATATATATATATATATATATATATATATATATATATATATATATGTATATGTATATATATATATATATATATATATATATACTTGAGTGAGATAGTGGATTATCCCATATTTTTTGTATGTTATTTATTGTTATTTTCAATGGTCAATTACTCGACACCTATTTTGTTTTGATTTTATCACAGAATATATACGAAGTAGATGAATTAATGCACATGCTAAGAAGAAGAATAATAAAAAGGAAATTATTCTCACTAACTGAATTTAAGCACAATCAATCAGTGAATGCACAAAAATTGCAAACATTTTGCTTGTGTACACAATTATATCTTTTTATTCTTTCATATTTTGTTAACTTGAATTCATTTGTTCACAATAGATTTGTGTTTTAAACTTTATTGTTAAAAAATGAACAGAGAGATTTCTTAAAGAAAAACCAATAAAATGTCATTTATTTTTGTGTGTAATAAAATTTAACGTCAAATTTTTCAGATTTCTATCGTCTCTTTTTTTTCTGAGCGATTTGTCAGCGAGTAATAATCAGAGAAATAAGAAATTCGTATGTAATTAATATGGTTGGGAATTTTAAAAAACTGGATGCTCATTTCGTTGTAATTCCTACTCGTTTAGTGTTGAATGAATTGTAGTGGTTATTATGATTTTGTAGTCTAACTAATAAGGCAACGGATATTCAGATTGAGTTTCAGTTTGATCCACAACACTAAAAATGCATGTTCACCTAGCTGACAAATCGAAGATATCCTGGATCTCATTGGTTATTGTTTACAAAAATACGATTCACTTGTAAACACAGAATATTGAAGTATCGATTTAAGAAGTTTGTAAGTCCACGAAGACTGGTCAAATTGAGTTCATAATATTAACAACTGACAGAAAGAACCCATATGAATAAAATATTAAGCAGCGCTCTGTCCACTTGCTTTGTCACTCTGTCAACATTATTCACTATGATGTCGAATCAGCTTTTACGGTACTTGATGCTATTCGAATGTATGTAAATGTATCACATACTAAACTACTGGTTTCGTACAAATCTAATATACGAATTTCATCTAATAATTAAAATAACCCATTGTGTAATTAGAAGCAAAGGCAAATGAGGGGTTTCATTTCCTTGATGTCCGATTGGAAAGGTCAGATGGTTTTTTGCAGAGATCTATAGAAGGCCTACCTGGAATGGGCAGTACACAAATTTACATAGCTGTGTCCCACTTAGTAGAAAGAGGAATTTAATTCACTCTTTATCTTCAAGGATCAGGCGAATATGTTCTACTGACACAATATATGAGAAATTACTTCGACAGACTCATTAGGAATGGTTATCCACCTAGATACGTCAATAATAACTTAACACTTTGACATCATTCGGGAAAAGCACCAACAGTACAAAAGAAAACGTTTTATGAATATGGAATTTAAAGGAGATACAGCTGCTGAAATCTTGAATAAATTATTTCACAATTGCTGAAAAAATTTCTACTCAGCTAGGCTCCGAATTGTTTTCTCAAGCCGGTCTTCCATTCATGGATGTGTTAAAGATAAACTTACGCCTGTTACACTTAATGGAGCATAAGCCACCTACCAGCATTCTTCAACCCACTCTGTCCTGGACCTTCCTTTCTAGTTCTATCCAATTGTTGTTCATTTTTCTCATATCTTTCTCCGTTTCTCAGCGTAATGTGTTCTTTGGCCTTGAGGATTCCAAGTGACGGCTTGCCTTGTGACACAGTCGGGTGCTTTCCTCAGTATATGTGTCCTATCCACTTCTTCCACTGGAATATGGTTTGTTCTCTCCCATAGTAGGTTGTTTCTGATAGTGTCTGGCCAACGGGTCCGAAGTATTTTACGCAGACAACTGTTAATAAACACCTGTATCTTCTGGACGATGGCTTTCGTAGTTCTCCAAGTTTCCGCTCCATACAGTAGAGCTGTCTCGAAATTTGTATTGAAAATTCTGACCTTGGTGTTAGTTGACAGTTGTTTTGAGTCCCAGATGTTCTTCAATTGTAGATATACTGCTCTTGCTTTGCCGATCTGCGCCCTAAAGTCCCTCTTTGGGTCACAGCAATGTGCATCTATAAATTCACTTGCTCATGTCGAGCAGGTTACATCAGCCGCACAACGCGATCACTTTCCAAACACATCTCAGAACACTACCCGCCATGGCTTTTAATAGGAGAATGCAAAACAATTACTAGTTCAATACAGGAGCATTTAATCAACTATGTACACATCGCTCCAAAGGAGTCTTGTGTGAAAATACACAGTCAAAGTAATTGAATCGAAGAGAGGTCGAATCAAAATCTTATGTACTGCTGAGTCATTGACAATCCACCATCTCAACCCGAACTTTGCGTGCATAATCTACACGTCCAACTTCTCATCCTTCCTTGGCCCTAATTCCCTTTTGTAGTGTTTCGATTTTTTTTTCATTTTTCCTTCATTTTTCTATTTTCATTATTATTATCGATTTTTTAAATTAGTTTTTTGTAATTTAAAAACTCAGTTATTATTACCCTGAAACAAGTTTTCATGATTATTATTCAGATTTCATTATTATGACCTTTGTGATTGTCGTTTTTCTTTATATCTGCCAATTGGACAGTCAATCATTTTTCATAATTCAGATCCATAAATTATTTCCAGCCTTATGCTCTTCTCTTACCCCATGACTATTGCGTCACCTCATCTGATAATAAGAGTCTCGAATCAATTTATGATGTAATATTTTCTATATTTTTATATACAACTGTAAATACGAATGTACAGTTTAAGTAAATGATTTTGTCGAAAAGAAAATTTTCTTCACTGAATTCTCTTTATTTTCATCTAATACTTGTTCATTCTAAAGCTGATTTTGCAAAACTGGTATGACAAGTTCTTGTGATTTAGAATAAGCAGTACTTTCCTTGATCGAATTATGGTTCTAAATGCTTGAATTTAACTCACTGTATCATACATTGAAAATCATCTAATCTAACTTTTCTTCTGTTGTAGAGGCGTTCATATTTTACGATTAAACGAGCTTGTGTACACTACTGAGTATCATTTTTACGTGATCTTGTCAACAACTAGAGTGTAAATAATAATCTCTTCTACAGAATTTTAACTGTTTGGTCATTAAGCGAAAGACTATGTAAATATTATATTCTGGTGTTACACAGAGTTGTTAAGATTGAATTGTCTACGGATACCGTGTCATATAAAAACTATTAACTGAGGGCCTAAGGTGGTGTACCCCAAGGCACCATCTTGGGCCCTCTGCTCTTCCTTCTCTACGTTAATGAGTTACCGCTGTTACTTAGGTCGTCGACATTATTTTTTGCGGATGACGTAAAAATCTGGAGAACAATAAAAAGTGAGGCTGA